CTGGGGACACTGGGGGACACTGGGGACACTGGGGACATCACTGGGGACATCACTGGGGACACGGGGGACATTGGGGACACTGGGGACACTGGGGACATTGGGGACATTGGGGACAGCCCTGGGGTGATAATCGTGGGGACGTCACTCGGTTCGGGTGTCTGAGTGTCCGAGTGTCTGTGTGTCCGTTTGTCCGACTGTCCGACTGTCTGTGTGTCCAAGTGTCCGACTGTTCAAGTGTCCGTGTGTCCGAGTGTCCGTGTGTCCGAGTGTCGGACTGTCCAAGTGTCCGTGTGTCCGAGTGTCCCTGTGTCCGTGTGTCCAAGTGTCCGAGTGTCCATGTGTCTGAGTGTCCGTGTGTCCAAGTGTCCGTGTGTCCGAGTGTCCGTGTGTCCGTGTGTCCGAGTGTCCGAATGTCCGAGTGTCCGAGTGTCCGTGTGTCCGACTGTCCGTGTGTCCGAGTGTCCGTGTGTCCGACTGTCCGTGTGTCCGAGTGTCCAACTGTCCGACTGTCTGTGTGTCCAAGTGTCCAACTGTTCAAGTGTCCGTGTGTCCGACTGTCCGTGTATCCGGGTGTCTGAGTGTCCGTGTGTCCGTGTGTCCGACTGCCCGAGTGTCCGAGTGTCCGAGTGTCCGGGTGTCCGAGTGTCCGGGTGTTGCAGATCCAGCAGTTCTCCAAGAAGGAGATCGAGGACCTGCTGCGCAAGGGCGCCTACGCCGCCATCATGGACGAGGACGACGAGGGCGCCAAGTTCTGCGAGGAGGACATCGAGCAGATCCTGCTGCGGAGGAGCACCACCATCACCATCGAGAGCGAGGGCAAGGGCTCCACCTTCTCCAAGGTGAGCCCCAGGTGTGCCCAGGTGTGCCCAGGAGGGGCTGGAGAAGGTCCAGGTGTGCCCAGGTGGGGCTGGGGCAGCACCACCATCACCATCGAGAGCGAGGGCAAGGGCTCCACCTTCTCCAAGGTGAGCCCCAGGTGTGCCCAGGTGTGCCCAGGAGGGGCTGGAGAAGGTCCAGGTGTGCCCAGGTGACCTTCCGTGGTCCTAGAGAAGGCCCAGGTGATCTTTGGGGGCCCTAGAGAAGATCCAGGTGTGGCTGGAGAAGGTTCAGGTGGGGCTGGGTGGAGTTAGGTGGTGTTAGAGAAGGTCCAGGTGTGTCCAGGTGTGCCCAGGTGTGTCCAGGTGGGGCTGGAGAAGGTCCAGGTGTGTCCAGGTGTGTCCAGGTGGGGCTGGAGAAGGTCGAGGTGTGTCCAGGTCACTTTTGGTGGCCACCGTGGAGGTTCCTGGCCGCGGGCCGGCCACAGGAGAGCCAGAGTGACCACTGGTGACCACTGGTGACCATGGGTGATCACTGGTGACCATGGGTGACCATGGATGATCACTGGTGACCCCAGGTGACCACTGGTGACCATGGGTGGTCCTGGGTGACCACGGGTGATCATGGATGACCACTGGTGACCGTTGGTGACCACTGGTGATCCCGGCTGACCACGGATGACCACTGGTGATCACTGGTGACCATTGGTGACCCTGGGTGACCACTGGCGACCCTGGGTGGTTCTGGGTGACCGCGGGTGACCGCTGGTGACCATGGATGATCACTGGTGACCACGGGTGACCGCTGGTGGCTGTGGATGACCATGGGTGACCACTGGTGACCATGGATGACTATGGGTGACCACTGGTGACCACTGGTGACCATGGATGACCACTGGTGACCATGGATGACCAGTGGTGACCACTGGTGACTGTTGGTGGCTGTGGATGACCATTGGTGACCACTGGTGACCACTGGTGACCATGGATGACCACTGGTGACCATTGGTGACCATGGATGACCACTGGTGACCATTGGTGACCACTGGTGACCACTGGTGATCATGGATGACCACTGGTGGCCGCTGGTGACCGCTGGCGACCCTGGGTGGTCGTGGGTGAGCGCGGGTGGCCACCGCTGACCGCTGTCCACCGCGGCCAGGCCAGCTTCGTGGCGTCCGAGAACCGCACGGACATCGCGCTGGACGACCCCAACTTCTGGCAGAAGTGGGCCAAGAAAGCCGACCTGGACCTGGAGCTGCTCAACAGCAAGGTGGGGTCACCTGGGGGTCACCTGGGGTTACCTGGGGTCACCTGGGGGTCATCTGGGGGCACCTGGGGGTCACCTGGGGGCACCTGGGGGTCATCTGGGGTCATCTGGGGGTCACCTGGGGGCACCTGGGGTCACCTGGGGGTCATCTCGGGGTCACCTGGGGGTCACCTGGGGTCACCTGGGGTTACCTGGGGGTCATCTGGGGGTCATCTGGGGGTCATGGGGTCATCTCGGGGTCATCTGGGGGTCATCTGGGGTCATGTGGGTGGGGCAGTGGCTGGAGGCATCACTGACCATTGTCCACCCTCACTGACCACTGCACTGACCACTGTCCATCCCCACTGACCGCTGTCCATCCCCTGACCACTGTCCATCCACTGACCACTGTCCATCCCCTGACCACTGTCCATCCCCACTGACCACTGTCCATC